GAGTAATCAGTGTCATATGTTGAGTCCTTAGTGGTGCTGTCTGAACTCTATCAGTCAACTTCACAATGCAGTCATCTACCTAGAAGGCTCACCATAACAGTGTGCTTTGAATTATGACCTGCTGGAAGAAACCGTCCTGGAAGCTCCGGACTTATGATACATGCTTATTAGCCATGAGTACTCTATTGGTACCACCAAGGATTAGACACCTGCCATTGGCTACCTTTCAGTGACCAATCAGTTTATCTGTCATGACACTTCAAGAGATTAATCGTGAGTCAGAAGTGCTCAGGGATAATGTCTCTGACTAATACAGTGGGTGACATAGATCTTTATCTCCCTTAGAAGTTGCAGATATGCCTTTCTTATGAGCACTAACAAGCTCAAAACATTGCTAGTTTGAGATCTTCTTGCCAACTACCTCCAACTAACTAATTATACATTCAAAATACTTTGAGATTACAAGCTTAATGTTTCAGAAGCCATTGCTTCAACTACAAATATGTTTGCACTGACAAAATATAGCTATTATTTAAAATGACACATGGATGCACTGATATCTTCACAACTAGGTAATCATGATAACTAGCTTGAGAGGGAATACCTCAGAAAGATATGAAGAAACAAGTTTAGAACAAGCAGAGTAATTTTTATAAACGTGACACTCAGATGAAATGACAACTGACAGACATCTACATCACTACAGCATAAAATGAAAAAGGCACAGAAACTACAGCTGTAGTGGAAAAAGGAATTTTATAGTCGATAAAATTGGCAGTGCAGATAAGAACCCATCTCCTTTTGTACTAATGTAAATATATGACTCAGAAATAGTTTGCCCAAGCCAGATAGCAATAATTATTTAGATGTGCACTGGGTAAGCACTTCAGTCCACATCAGAAAGCGAATCACAACAAACAGTTAGAAAGCTGTTGACAACTATTCTTCTAAGCAGACGTACTTGGAGAACTCGTGCAACTCAGCAACCACATCTTCAGGTACACCACTACCACAAGGATATGCCTGAATTGAAATATAATCTGCCACTTTTTATAAAGATTATTACTTTCGGTTAACTTAACAAATGAGTTACTTAACACGCCTAAAATTCTGACATATTTTCGATGTTTGAGTAACTTCATGCATTTATTCCCCTTGATGAATTTGAATAAAGCAAGAACAACAGTGGTTTGTGCAGAATAATATGGTAATGTCATTTATTTCGTAGGCTTCTCATCAGCTGCTTACAGCCTAAATAAATTATGAGGTTTACGTACAGAAAAGTTTTAACATACTTGCAAATTTTTACATGTTGTCAGTTGACAAAAAGTTCCACAGTAAGTGAACGGTGCTCAGAAAATTGCGCTTATATAGTTTTTGCACAGGGAGTTCAAGTTTAAACAAAATAAATGTATGCATACAATGGTAAAAGAGTTACGTAATAAAGACGAAATATGAGTTAGATACAGAGTGACTAATAAATTAGGTAACAATGTACTGAGTTCAACTCAAATCATAGAAACAAGAGACAAGCAAAATTAAGAGTATAAAAGGGGGTGAGGTTAAAGACAAAGATTACGTAATCGGATGAGAGAATAAAGACATTCGGTTACCAGGGCAAAGAAAGATTAATAATTGCTTCTTTCTGAACACATATATCTGGTTTCAAGCGTTTGATAGAGATTGCTTCGGCAAACTTGAGGAGAATGAAACTCCTTTGTCTATTGATAATTTTAAAGGATTTCTCGATTTTTACCTCATGACCCGTGTCGAGAAGATGTATAGTAATAGCGCTGCTATGGATTTGTTCCCTTGAGACGTAGGCTTTTTGGCACATGTTCAGAAAATCGGAGGTATGCCCTTCGATAAGCGCAATTTTCTGAGCACTGTTCACTTACTGTGGAACTTTTTGTCAACTGACAACATGTAAAAATTTGCAAGTATTTTAAAACTTTTCTGTACGCAAACCTCATAATTTATTTAGGCTGTAAGCAGCTGATGAGAAGCCTACGAAATAAATGACATTACCATATTATTCTGCACAAACCACTGTTGTTCTTGCTTTATTCATATTTTCGATGAGTAAAACAAATTTCACTTGTTCCGTATTACTCTTTCGATTTAGCAAAGAAGATGTAGTGTTATGCATAGGCAATAAGTGATTTGTTGGATGGTGACTAGCAGTGGAATTCAGAATGCGCATCTTGTCCTATTCGAGGCTCGCTAGCCAGAATTAGCTTTATTCCGAGTGAGCCATTGTGTTCCCAATGAGACTCGAACACAAGACCCATAGTTTCAAAAGTCAAAGCATTATCTACTAGACGAACTGGGAAACAAGAACCATCTCTTGTAAAACGGGTGTCAGTAATTGTTTGTTTTTATTTGAATTTTGGTTTTGGCGTTGATTGATTAGACCAAAAGAACTCAGCCTCTGTTAACATGTGGTGACCCATTTTATTACTCATCATCATAGTATACTCTCACTATGTAATTGGACTTTGATTTGTGTATCACTCTGAAGATCGCGTGTTATCAATTAACACATTGTACTCACTCAACTTTTGAATTTAGATTACTGCGGTAATACACGTTCGTACTCCTTCTCAAGTGCCTTTTGATTTACGTTGTGGATGTCAAGTAATCGCAACGTTAAGACACAATAATAAACGCGAAGAAGTACTAGGATATACGTGTACGCTAATATGGTCAAATAGAGCACCACAACAAACATATCGTCTCTTAGCACGGACGCTTCATTAACATTTGAGGATTAACGTGAAGTAGTTACTTATAATATAGTTATAATAAAAATGTCCTTAACTTTAAAACATTCAGTCTCATGATATTTGAGACTTAATAAAATGAACAATTTAGAGAAAACCTATCGAAGACCAGTTTTGTCCATTAATATACAAAAAAACTTTGGTTAAAATGCATAATAGAGAGGATGTACATGATCGGTAGTGACAATAAAATGCTGAGTGATACTCTTGTTGATATATTTTGCATATTTTTTCACACTAGTATGGGCAACAGTTGAATTCAAAGCCTATAGTGTAGGCTGTTCGTGATAAAAAGAAAACCATTACAGGGGGGTAATAACCAATATGATGTTAAGATATCTAATAAATTCGGTTGTTCGTAAAATATACTATTGATCAATAATCGAAACAGCCAAAAACAGCTCAGTATTGCACAACTCATCAAGTTACACGCCGTGTGGGACACCGCATTGCATTCCAGTGTGGATTAATATATGTATACATGCTTTATGCACTATCCACAAAGATGCACTAGATGAAGAATTCCAACCAAAAGAGCTGGATTTAAGAAAAGCGAAACGCGTGTTGAACAGATTGCAACGCTTCACATCATTTTCAAACAAAGTATAGAATGAAAATCAAATTTCGACCTCACTTTCATTGAATTTCAGATGACCTTCGATAGCGTTGACAGCTAAGTAATTTCTAAACTGCTGAAACACTACGGAATGCTCGAGATCTTTCTTAATAGCATTCAGTGGCTTTGCGATAATGCCACATGCCAAGCGATCCACAATGAGAAACTTAGCGAAGCGTTTGAAGTAAAGACAAGGGTTCCTACTATCAACGATTCTATTCCTAACTGGGGTGGACTTGTTTATGTGGAATACCGTAGGTGGGAGCCAGAATATAGCAGTACGTCTGGCCGATAAGAAGACTCTAGAAGATCCGGACTTCTCTGATGATTTATTTCTGATATCACTTAACCCCGATCACTTACAATAGAAAACCAACAATTTGGTAGAAGATGCAGACGTGCTTCAAGTGAACACAGAGAAGACGGAGGTGATGAATATAACTAGCAAACAGCAAGAAGCACCAACTGTTATCTACAGGGTAGATTTGAAAGGGGTCACTCCCTTCTCTTATCTGAGAAGCATCATTTCAACTATAGGTGACACCATAGATGAGCGTTACAAGAACAGCATCGAAAAGGAAAGTTAGACCTTCATTATTCTAAAATCAGTTTGGATGTCTTCTGAACAAAATCCCGATTTTAAAGACAAATTTTAAGTCGGCCACTTCTTTTATATGGATCAGAAATTTAGCGCATGAGTCACTGAAGGCATTTCCAACAAGTTACTTCAGATTCTTATCAACATATGCGTTCACTGGTTGCATACCGAATATAAGATTGCCAGCCAGAAAGAATCAGCACCAAGAAACTCTGTGAACATACCAATCAAGAACCTATTGCTGACGTAGCAGATAATTCTGAAGTAAAATGGAGATTGATTGGACATAAGCTCGCCAGGCATATCCTCGAGTGCCATCCAACTGGGAAACGGTGAACAGAGCGTCCAAAGGTGACATGAAGGGGATCGTGTCAGGAGGATATGAGAACTTATGGTCAGTCTTCCAGCCAGCTAAAGGGGACTGTATAGAACAGGGTTAAATGAAGACGTTCTGCCGAAGCCCTATGTTCCACCTGGAACCCAAGGGATTGATGCATGTATAGATGGGGAAAGGAAGAGAAGTGATAGCATCTCGCATCTGAGTGTAAGGGAACATATAACTTCATGTTTATAGGAACAATTCAACTCTCAAACCTTCTTAAAATCAAGCCATAGATTGTTGACCTATTCTGTCACAAAATATATGTGTCAAAACATAATATACAAAACAGACACAGGCACAACGGTAGAGTGGTCGCTGACCACGCAGGAGGTCCAGGGTTTAATCCCCGGCCTCTGACACACTCGTTTACCTCGCTAATCCAGTAATAAGACTGGTAAGGAGGGAAGGTTGGGCATGAGGCTAGCAACCCCACCCCATAAAAATAATCACCGCTGCTACAGAAACTTCAAGCCTCTAACTTGAAGCCCTATTCTGTGCAGGGAACGTAAAGGAATAAAAATACAAAACAGACGCGATTGCGTAGATATCAAAATATGCTCAGTCAACTTTTCTACATTCATAAAATTAGACCTAAATAAATACATAAATAATTGAACTTACTTTAAGCACTTTATAATGATTATAAGTTGCTATATTATCATATAGAGTAACTGTATGATTTTTTTTACCACTCCTATATTGTACTGTGACTTGTAAACATGGAAATTTCGATCGATCTTTTGAACATTTATTTTCACATTTTACATCAGTTTTTGTAATATGTGCATGTACAAAACTACAATTTGTATGTGTAAAAGCTGATTCATGTAAGTAGGGTTGTACAACTAAATGGATTAATATACATTCGACAATAAATGTTGTCGTTATCACTGTTGCACAAGTTAAATAAATTATTTTTAAACTATTTATCTGATAAGATTCTGGCAGGGAAAGGCATATTTGCCTACTAGTCATCCTTCGCATTTGTTCATTTATATATTATGATATATGATATAACTTTAATTGTATACAATCGTTTTAAGAAAGCAATTAATATCTTGTAGTTACATTTTTTCACGCTGAACATATTATGCTTAAATCTAATTTTCGAAAGTTACAATGATAATTAACCTTATAATATATTTGTATATTTATATATATGTAAGGAGTAGGTTACATTCTACCAATCAGAAAACCTACCCATAATGTCGGATTGTGATTGGCTGCTTTGTTTACTCCAGATTTTGTTAGATTTTCGTCACAAAGCAACATCAGCTAGAGAGATCACTTAAAACCAGGGAGTACTGAACAGCTGATTGTTTTTTCCTTTTCTGAAAATCTTCAGCAGTGCTCACCTACGACCCTTGCTCCATAAGAGCAGGTGAACGGAAAGATGCATATGAAGACAACCGGTTGAAGGAACTTTTCTTTTACGGAAACGGAGAACAAATTATGACTGGTGAAGGTCATTTGGAGTTTAGCTGTGAATGACGTCCTACCAAGTGATTTAGAAAGACGATTTTTGAGCGTATCTGAAGCCTGATAACCCTTGAATTCGAAATTCATGAAGGGGGTTTTCTTTGAAACTGAGTCAGTGGTCATTTTGGATTACTTATCTTTCTTGTTTCTGTTAACGAGTCGGTTCGGGTAACTGTTTTCTGCCAGCGTGGCTAATAGAAAGGAAGGTTCCGAGTCAACGCAGTCAGAACTACAAATGTTTCTTATCCTAATGGAGAGTTAATGAACTAAGTTCATGGAGATAGGCATCCACCTATAAAAAGTTGGTTGGCTGTCGATTCCATATGCGCTACCACTGGATGAATCTTTTGGCAAACTTGTCATCATCTACAGAAAGCCTACTTGAAACAGTCAAGAGATTTCTACAGTTCGATATCTATTGACCGGAAACGAACTCTGCCTTAAATTCCTTGCTCATCAGATCCGACGCATCTGCAGTCCTCACGCCTTCATTCAAAATGGATATCCGCCAGGATTCATCTACAGGAATATCAAACCAAAGGTCCAGAGAGACGAAACATAACTCGTTTGAAAAAAGATACTTTACATGAATCTGGATTTCTAGGGAGACTCAGATTGAGATATCTTCAAGAATAAAATTTCAGCATCTTTGAAAAGAACATTCTTCGCAGAAACGCTAAGAGGGGTGTTCTCCAGTCGCCCATTGATCTGCGGAAGTCTTAGAGACAAGACGTCGCATCTGATCACTTCTATGTGCATATATCAGATCACCTGTTCTGTGGTGCCAGTTATACTGGTCGTTCGACGCGTATCCTGTCCAAAAGCATTTAAGAACATAATCCTGCATGGCTGTATAAGAAGTGCTAAAACTGAACATCTCGCCAACACTGGTCAATCTATCTCAGCAAAAGCTTCCATCAGAGTATTTTGCAAAATGAGGGTAAACCTACCAAGTACAATACGCTTTCGTCTCCTTTGTATTGCTGAGACCTTAGACATTCATCCAAACACCTCTACTATCATGATAACAAACATGTTGACTTCTGTTGATTTGGAACTTGTCTGTTCTTTTGTTTTTTTCCTTTCTAATTTTAAGAACCCCCCACACGTATATGTAAAAACTTCCTGCTCATGTGTGAAGCTAGCATCCCCCCTAAAAACAAAACTGCTAAAGAAACTTCAGTACGATGAGTGTCTTTGCGACGAAGGAAAAAGTCTGTGTGAGAACATGGGACGTCCGCACCATGTGTGAGACTGGCAAAGATACCCAGATTACAAACGAGATGAAAAGATACGGAATTCATGTATTGAGAATATGCAAAAGCAGATGGAATGGGAGTAGATGATCTGCTCCGGTCACCCAGAAGACAACCACGAGCACACCGAGGATGTAGCTGTCATTATGTCACCAATGACAACAAAGGCCCTCATACAATGAAGGGCGATCTCACCCATGATAATGACTACCAGGTTCAACTCAAAAGAAAGGAAAGTGATAGTTATACAATGCTATGCACCCACAAACAACTCAGACCTCGAAAAGAAAGAAGAGTTCTACAGACAACTACAGGCAACAATGGAAAATACTCCAATCGGTAACATCAAAATGCTACTGGGAGACATGAACGCCGTATTGGGACCAGACAACACACGAAGGAAACTCATCATAGGTTGAGAAACCCTCGGGGAAATGAATGAAAATGGAGAACTCTTCGCTAACTTCTACGCCTTCAATGAATTAGTGATTGGTGGCAGCATATGCAAGCAATCTCAATCTCAAGGAAGTGGAGACGTAGCTTGCTGGACACAAAAGTGAGAAGAGGAGCAGACATTGGTTCAGACCACTATCTTGTATAAAATCACTCCAAATCAAAGTAAAAACTTTCAAAGAAACAGAAGCTGCAGATAGACCACAAGCCAAGTTCAATACTCAAAAACTGAAGGATCACGGTAAAAATAACATCTTCTCTGCAAACATAAGGTAAAAGATGGATGTACAAATCAAAACTAACGAAGAGACCAGCGTTGAAAAGCGCTGGAACAGCCTGAAAGCGGTGTGGAGTCAAACCTGCATGGAAGTTCTAGGCAGAAAGAAGAGACAGGACAAAGAGTGCCTCACTACGGGCACATGGAAGAGAGGATGGTGAAACAGAGTATTGTTCAGTGCATTGATGAGCAACAAAAACAGGAGTTCAAAACAAGCTACAATACATTGAACAAAAGAGTAAAGAAAAGTGCCAGGGGAGACAAAAGAAAATATTATGAAGCTATTGCAAGTGAAGCAGAACAAGCTGCAGACAAAGGAGACCTTGCAGCACTCTACCAAACAACCAAGTTCCTATCGGGGAAAAGTTCGACACAAATTTAGCCAGTGAAGTATCACAAGCAGAAATCAATCACCAAAGAGGGGGAGCGAAAGAAACACTGGGGTAAACACTTCAAAAGACTTCTAGGTCGACCGCCACCTAGAGTGCCTCCAATAATACCAACAGCGGAAGCAAAACTACCAGTGGACATCAACTCTCTGACGAGAACAGAAATCCTGAAGGCAATCAAGATCCTAAAAACTGTAAAAGCAACGGGACTAGACAGAATACCAGCAGAGACATAAGCGGGCTTGATGACACCATTACTAAAGAAGGTGTGTAAACAGGGCAGGGTACCTGCGGATTGGAAGAAAGGCTATTTATTCAAACTACCAGAAAAAAGGGGACCTAAGTCAATGCAACAACTGACACCACATTATGCTCCTGTCCATCACAAGGAAAATACTGAGCCACGTCATCCTGGAGAGAATTAAACAAGCCTGTAACAGGCTGGATTCAGGAGAAACAAATCATGCATCGATCAAATCGCAACACTACGGATCATCACTCAACAGAGCTTGGAATGGCAGTCATCTCTCTACATCACTCAACTTCATTGACTTTGAAAAGGCTTTCAGCAGGCAACGTCGACCGAGAGGTGATCTGGAAACTACTTCGCTACTACGGGGTGCCACCAACAATTATACATCTCATCCAACAGTTGTACGACAATGCTGCGTGCAAAGTATTCCACAACGGGAAACTCACGGAATCCTTCGAAGTGGAAGTAAGAAAAGCTGGCTGTCTACTATCTCCAATGATTTTCTTGGTTGTGGTGGACAGGATAATGTGATAGACAGCGGTGGGCAACGAGAAGACAGACCCACGCAAAAAGAGAGGGTCTGGACTACACCGATGATATATATCTTGAAGAAGATATGCAAGTGAAAAGCAACAAGTTGGCAGTAGAAACATCAAAGATGAGATTTCCTTCAGGTGAACACAGAGTAAACAGAGGTGATGAAGATTCTTAGCCGACTGCAACAGCCACAGCAACAACAACAGACAACAACCAGCGTAAATGGGAGGAATGTAAACAAGCAACCTCCTTTACCAACTAATTGAGAAAAATCGTTTCAACTACAGGCGGACGGGACTGATGAGAATATCAAAGCGAGAATCTGGAAAGCTAGGCAAGCTTCATTTCTCTCAAGTCTATGTGGAGATCAACAGTACTCAGCATGAAAAATAAGATCCGGATTTTCTGCTTGAATGTAAAGTCAGCGCTACTCACTATACGGATCAGAGACTTGGCGCCGTGTCACGAATGGCACTTTGAACAAACTACAGACCTTCATCAACAGCTGTCTTCACTCAATACTCAAGATCAGATGGCCGGCCAGAAAAGATCAATAACAGAGAGGGATCTGTGAGAGCGAACCAACCCAGCAGGAACCAATTGTGCAACAAGTATGCAGGAAGAAATGGAGGTGTGTTTACCATACTCTGAGTTGAGAGTTGATGAAAGCATGTAAACAGACGTGGAGCTAGGTGATGAAAACGTTATCTGAGAACCGAACACATTGGAGATGTGCGGCTGAAGCACTATATTCTTCTAGGAACTAAAGTAGACAACAATAATTATTTATCACTCCGTATTTTCTTTTTTTTCTATGTATATCCTAATCATTTTATGACGTAACTGTAATTCGCCTATTCAACTTGTTTTGTGTTAATAACTGAGGTTTATGACAACACATTACCACTTCTCTCCTATGAATTTTTATCCCATTCCCTCCCGCGTAGTTAGAATTTGATTATTCATCACATTTTTGAAATGTCATAACAACAATAACCCTAACATATTTTCATTCTCAACGGACAAACCCAATGTGTACACATCTATACAAAAAGGTATATATAATTGCGATTGTACAGCTAAGTGAATGAATCCGCCGAAAACAGACTCTTCGCTGAACTTCGTGTTCTGTTTTCATTTATGTCTGGATGTCTGGGATTATTCATGAATGTAAACAGTTATTTGCACCTGAATTTCAGTCACTACCTAAGAATATATGATAACTTACAGAATTTTAGTCAGTTAAATATGTTGTTGTTGTTCTTTAGACAAACCGATGAAATTATTCCAGTGGAATAAAGCTTTAAATGAAAATGATTTATGAAATGTGACCCCTACTACTTACAAAGGACGGAAAGTTCCCGATATATGAAGTTATAACATAACGGCTTTCTTTTCAACAAATAATTTTCAAAAGCTGCGCAGTAGGATGTATATTCAACAGAGTCGGTCGGTCGGTCGGTCGGTTTTCGACATAGAAC